GGTAATTAATTCTTAGACACTGGCCAATGAATGTTCACATATCTGTTGGTTTTCCAGTACAAATCATTTTGAGTATCAATTCATTCATGACACTTTTAGTGAACACGAAGAACATAATGGTAATTCAGAATTAAAGTTTAATTAATGGAGTGCTTTGTAAAGATATACAAAATCTAATTACAAAACTTAATTTTCAATGCCTTCGAATTTTATTATTTCAAGTAGCTCTTCTTACGTACTTACTTTTCCCTTCTTCATTTCTTCCTCTTTTCTTCTCCCCCCTTCATCCTATGCCTTAATCCATTAATTTATTTCTGAAAGTGACAATTCTGCTTGTATTTTTCACAAAGGCTGTATTCTACAATCAAACTAAAGCTGGCTGTCAGTCAGTCAGTACACAGTACAGATTTCAGTAGCGTTACATCTCCATTTCAAGCACTTGAAAGGGATTAGCAAAAGAAAAATTATTAAGTTGTGCATCTGTATAACAAAAATTCAAAGGCATTGAACTTCACACTGTATAACGTAAAGAGCAATAGTTCAGTCCGCTTTTTAATTGTTCTTATTGCAAATGTGCCAGTAGCTACATACTCACCTAGGTCAGCTAATCTTCCCGCAGCAAGTGGATATAACAAAACGGGCAACACACGGCTTCTTTTTGCTACTTCGGCTTGTATCTTCAGATTATACTTTGATTGCTGCTCTCGATCCGGGCTGTGCACCATGTACAAGGTACCGTTGCTTGATGCCACTTCAAATGAATCACTACCTGGAGTTGGCACAATGCTGTACCTTAAAGTTTGTCCTCTGTATGCATCTGTCACATTTAAAACCAACAACACCACGGGAACCGGCGAGTTCTCCTCAACCTCCACTTCATAGTAGCGATGAGCAAACATTGGCTGTGCAATCTCTTCTGCATCTTCTGGAACATCTATTACTCTGACAATCAGAAGAGCTGTGGAGCTTAGACTGGGGTTTCCCAGGTCTGAGGCAACTACTGTTACGTTATAAATGTTTTGAGTCTCATAATTTAATTTCCCAATGGTCATTACAGTGCCATCTTTTGAATCAATGCTAAATAAATTTATGCCATTTTGGTTTGGGTAAGGGATGTTGAAGAGTAACAGCCCATTTCCATTTCCAGGAAAGTCAGAATCATTCGCAGAAAGCTTTGTTACAACAGTACCTGGTGAACTGTTTTCAAGCACTGATACATAGTACACAGGTGTGGATATAGATGACTCTGAATGATGAAAGCCTTCACTCTGAGAAGGAATGTCTACTACTTGGTCATAATCATAAAATGATGGGGCATTATCATTTACATCCAGTATATGAATTTCAACATCAACCATGCTATGATGTTGATTATTCACTGGCCCGCTGTCTCGTGCTGTGACCTGGAAGGCGTAGGAGTCACGAAGTTCACGATCGGTCTCACCAGTCACCGTCAAAATTCCATCATTTTCAGATATTCTAAATGGAAGCACAGATACATCATCATGTTCATTTTGAAGGATGCTATAAATTATCTTTGCATTATCTCCATAGTCCCCATCTGTCGCTTCAATTCTACCGAGAAATCTCCCCGTGTAGGAACCTTCTTCCAAATCGAAATTGTACCATGATTTTTTGAAAACTGGGGCATGGTCATTAACATCTTTCACGTGAATTCTGACCGTCACATTGTCCGTCAGTCCACCACCGTCAGTTGCAGTCATATTCAAGAAGAAGTCAGTTTCTGGAAGCAAAGTCCGTACCACTAAAATTTCACCATTTTGTGACTGAACTGTAAAGTAGTTCTTTAAATAAGGTCTGTGCACTGGAATGTGAGATTCTCCTGTTAACTTGTATGTGATTGTAGCATTCACACCTGCATCTCTATCACCAGCAAGCACACGCAAAATTGGCGTTCCCACAGGAGTGCTCTCCAAGATTGAAACTACGGGAGGCAAGTGGCGATGCTGCGTAAAGTTCATTGTTGTGACAGATTCTGTAATGTGATGATCTCCACCAGCTGTACTGGTGTTTTTCTTTTGTTCCTGGGTGCTGGAAACAGTAGACTCTGTGATCTCCACATCTTGATCATGCAGTACAACCATTTGCCAGAACCTTGGCGGATTGTCATTCACATCATCAAGATGAATTGTTAGTTTCACTTCAGATTTTAAGTTACCTTGAAAAAGGAACATCAAAATTAATATCTAGTAAGGTCAATAAGGTATAAACATTTTTACACACACTTGCCAAATTACAGAACTCCTTTTGTTTTGAACAGACTAAAAATAATAGTAACAATAGTAATAGGCCACAATCTATGCATGTCATTAGTATGAAATTTCCTTTCATATATACATGCACACAATTATTAGGATTAGGAATGACTCCATCTAAGTAGATTTGATGCATAACACACACTAAATTTACTATACACGTAGCCCTCGATTTACGCCGGGGATGCGTTCCTGAACGAACCTGCTTAAAAGGAATCGGTGTAAACTGAAACTCTTTTATAATGTAAATCAATGGGAAGTCAATGACATGCGTTCCCAGCACCAAAACATTGACGAGTAATTAATGGCATTACATTTAAAGCCCTGAAATACGTAAATAAAATAAAGGGAATTTTAAAAAAATATATTTTATACACTTACAATCGGCAATGGCGTGATGAAGCAGTGTTAGTTCTCTGACGAAGTCCCTGGTTGAGGATTGTCATGTTTTTAAAGAAGGCACGTAGTGTGTCGTGATTTCTTCTTTCTTTCAAAATTTCATGATAAGGCCTCATGGATGCCATAAGGCTCCCCTTCACAGTAGCACAAGAGCAAACTCGCATAAGAAAAAGTTTGCATTTCACAAACAGCTTTTACCGATTCATCGATCTCATTGGAGCAAATTCGCATTAACTAAACATATGTAATTGCAGAGACGACTGTACTTATAATTTTTATTCAAAATCAGCGATGTAAGAATTGCGATTCAAAATCGGCGTTATTCTGAATCGGCGCAAATCGAGGGCTACCTGTACTACAAAAATATATTTGAAAATGTTGTATAAAAACATACTAATAATCCATAGGAAAGTTCTTACCCTTGTCTCTGGCCACAACTCTCAACAAGTAGACTGCTTTTTCCTCTCGATCCAGAAGCAAGCCTTTAACAAATACTCTTCCGGAAGCCTGATCCACAGTGAACAGTTCACTGCCTTCTCCATGAAGGGTGAAGATGAATTGTGCATGATGCCCAACATCTGCATCTGTAGCATGTATCAGGTGGTTGAGCGTCACTTCCGTACCTCCTGCAGAATTCTCTTCAACATGACCATCGTATGAGGAGTGTTCAAACACTGGAGCATTGTCATTCTCATCCTCAACAATGACGTTCACCTGCAGATAAAATAGTAGAGGTTCCGTACAAAGTGTCTTAAACACGAATATGATTTTATTTATGTGTGATTTATTTAATGATGCTGTAAATATACAGCAGTTTGATAGGATAATTGACAAATAGTGAATTGGAAAGGATGTGGAGGAGAGAAAATAAATATATGTCATGCATTTATTTAACTTTGATCAAATGGTAATAGGAGCTATAAACCCCACATTATGTGACCGCCAAGCGGATTAACTCTGGGGTTTAATTTTATAATAAAGAAACACACACCCAACTACATCATTTTGGATTATAGAGGTGAATGTGCCTTTCTCAGTCTGGGAGAATAACTAGTAAAAAAAAATGTCATTTTGCAAAGTCCTACCAACCTTACCACTGCATATTAATTCAGTTTATATCAGCAAGAATAAAAGAACACCTCTGCATCCTCACCTGGTACACCCCAGCGCCTCGTATCAATCCTCGACTGTTTTCCGTTATTATCGTGAGCCGGTAAATGTCTCTCTCTTCGCGATCCAGTCCGCGTTGGGTGTAAATTGTCCCGTCTTGTGACACTGCAAACCGATCAGTTACATCTTGCTGATTTGCAATAATGAAATGTAATGACTTCCAGCGGCCCACATCCGATGAATTCTGATCCTTGCTCTGGTTCAGCAACTGGCCCACTAATGCGCCAGACAGATTTTCTCGAACTCTAAATTCGATCGGTGGTCCCCTAAAACAGCGATATCAAAGGAAGTATAAATTACATGATGGTATACAAACATTATTTTAAATTGTATATCTCTTATCCATCACATAGCCATGTAGTCTAGTAGAAGTATACCAACATTTCAGAGGTTCTTACTGTATCCATCGCCCTGATGATGACAGGTTGTGAAAAATGAGAACTGTTTTCGATAAGTTCAATGATACATATACTACACATCACAGGCCAGCTGAACATTTAGCAGTCAAGAAAGTAACTTTGCTTTCAAGGGTTAGGACGTCATCAAACAGAATGTACAAAAGAAACACGAATGGTTTGTGATAGAAATGAATAAGCTTTGAGATTCTAAGGGATATATACAAATAACTTGTCATTGTATTTAGGCAAATACATGAGTACTACAACGACCATAACTCATGCAAGTGTGACCGGACTTGCTAAAAGGATTAAAAATTTGGGACGTAAACTGTCCATGGATATTTGTTAACATCTCCTGACTTATTTTACAACTAACAAAGGCCAAATTTGCTGTGGTACAGTCAGACCAAGTAAAAAAGAAATGCCTAATGATTTTTGAAGAAACTGATATTAAAATATAGTAACATAAAGACTATGTGAAGGCTGACTTGATTGAAAGACAAAGAAAACATAAACTTGCAACAAATATATATTATCTCACACCAGAAGGTTATTTCTGTGGTGAGTATTAAAACAGTATAAAGCCAACCATTATACGTAGACAAGAGTTACGTGTCAAACAGTTACTCCATTAATAGAGAGAAAGAAAGAAAAAAAACAATGCATCCAACAACCCCATCCTAACACTGTGATAAATTTAAAGAATTTGATTCAAAAACAGGTTCTCAAAGAAAGATGAAAATTCTTAAATGTTTTATAATATTCTGTTGTCTGATGAGACTATCAACAAAATTGGAAAATTCGCTAATCATCACACCAATTGTTATGGGACAGAATAAAATATTCATGGAAAAGTATCAGGTGACTGTTTGTGATGGTTTATAATAAATGCATGTACAGTCATCACCACACAAATTTAAACTTGTTCTGTTGCCCTTACTTGGTGCCAATTCCTCTTTCATCATCAACCACATGGATCGTCACATTGGTTACCAAAGTCAGGTCTTGTCCATCTGTCACAACAGCTTCAAAATCATACAAAGGCTGTTCAAACTTGGAAATTTCATCCACAACAGTGATGGTTCCCGATCGCTCCTCGACAGCAAAAGGAACTGGAACACATTACACAAATATTTGCACACGATTCGTGTAGTTTACAATTATCTTAGTTTATAACGAGTATACGAGCGTCTCTGGTAAAAGCCTGGAAATTTATTCTACCCATATAATACATGATATGTTATTTATTAACCTTTATTGTCCTTGCATCACATTCCACACATAGTCCAGCTTTTGTGTGTTGCACTAGAATACTGCTGAACTGTTTACCACAAAATGACAGTTTGGCTGGTGGCCCCATAGCATGGAGCGGTTTAAATTATCTAACCTCACATGATGAAGGTTAAATATTTTACCTATCATGTAGGTGTAGATAGTGGAAGTAGAAGAGACATGACATTTTTGGGACTCTGGTTAGCCACTAAGTTGCTACATTGAAGTAGATAATAAACGTCCATAACAGATATAGGAGACAAGATGGCCATTATTCTGGTCAACATAATGGCAGACAAATGGCCACTTTTCACAACTTTCACAATTTTTTTTAAACCTATATTATATATTCTGGAGCCACACTTTGCATATTTTCCTTTCATATTTAATTTGCTGAAAATGTCTTGTATTAGATTTATATGGCAATTGTGTAAAAACACAAATCATTTATGAAACTTCATAGGTCTGTAATGGGTGGAATACATTACCCGAAGCTTCTTCTCCTGTAATTCCAACTTCTTCACTTTCTTATGTTTTAACAATTGAGGCTCTGGTGACCAAGTCATAACAGCGTTTAGAATTTATCATCTGTGCCTCACATCATATGCATGATTCAGTCGGCCATGTGTAAAGCGGCCCATCCACATACGAGTCTGGATTGCGAGTCCGGCTCGGCTCGGGTTCCATCGAGCCAAACTCGTTTGTGGGTCGGGTGTCACGAGCCGAGTCTGCTATGCATGTGTGGTGAAATATATCCGAGCCCGGATCACGAGTCAAGCTTGCCGAGCCAGACTCGCAAGTCAGACTCGTACGTGGATGGGCCGCTTTACACTATCATACTGCCAAACAATTAACCCAGGAGTTCAAGCAGCTTGTGTAGTACAGAGTTTAAATCCCCTGCATCTTTTGATATTACTTAACCTTCAGGTTAACTGATTCCAGAAGAATGAGTTGTGATGTTATTACCATTGTTAACTGGTGTAGACAAAATGTCACCAGCATGATGTATGTTGGGTTAGGAATAGGTTCAGCTTCATTATAGTTATGAATTGTTTTATACTGTTCGTCTGTTTCACCGCATATAGCAATTAATTTTACATATATTACAGATGTTAAAATCAAGTAACCCTTACCACCATCATGATAGCTATGAAGCAGATCATATCCAACATGATTGTTACGAACAGCATCTGTCATGCGTATCTGGCCGATACTGGTTCCCACACCAACATTGCCACCAACCCAGAATTCATAAGGGGCACCAATGAAATCTGGCACTTCATCACCTTCAGCTGGAAAAACAATTGTAGTTGAAGCGTAACGTAATAAGTAAGTTTCAGAGCATATTACAGACAGTATCTTCATTTCTTCTACGCATATGTTGGATAAGGAATGAAAGATGGAACTGACTGCTATGCACACCCTTTCAAACACAATACACAGTTCTACTATCTTGTATATGTAGTATTAGACAATATTAATAAGTTATCACATTTTAGCAATAATGAAGACTCCTCACTTCAAAAAAGTATGTTTCACATGCCACTATAGCATAAAATTGTTGGGTTTATTTACTTGATAATTTTATTAATAATATTTTGTATGCATTCGTCACAGTCATCTTAAATCATTAAGAAACAAGAGTTAAACATCTAGCATCTACTAAAGACTTGCGGAAAAGCATAGCATACTTAAGTTTTCTGATAATTTAACATCTTCTTATTTATGTAGACTGCATAGGCCAAAAACAATTATGCAGCATCCAAAAAACTTAGGCCCAATTAAGCCTTTCCCATGAAAGATTTCATTATGAAATTGTCACATAGGATGTAACTTCTCAAAGCATTTGATTTATTTAAAGACTGTTACTGGATTGTAATGTGATTGTCTACAAGAAGCAGACTTATTACTTCAATAAGTACATGTGAGGAAGGTTAAGAATTTCTTAGGCCAGCTGTTGAATATAAATACTTTGAAATGTACAAACAAAAATATAACACTGAATTCTGGAAATCGAGAGATGGAAGAAGCTGAGAATTTTAAAATCATTTTTGGATTGTCCTAAGAGAAATTTTTCACAAGCACAACATAAGTCCATGATTAATAGATACAAAAAATACAAAATCATGTGAAAGATATACGTTATAAACTATAATCTGAAAATTTATTTCCACAAAAAATGGTTGTACAGGCAAAGGAGGAAAGATAGGAATCTCACTTTGAACTATTCTTTCTTTTGGTTCCTTTCTTTCTTTCTTTTTATCTTTACTGTACACAGATGTAAAATGAAAGCTCATTATGAAAGTTTTTAAGATTAAAATCTGAGGCTCTCACAGTGGTGAAGATATCAATGTTTGTCTCCAAAACACTGATATTTATCTACAAGTCCACATGGCATTACAAACCAGAAGAACAAAAATAATATAATGAACCCACTTTTTCACTCTGGCAAAACTAAGTGATCAAAGTTACACATACATCCATCTATCAGCTGCTTACTCCATATAAACAGTATTACAGTTTAAGTATGATAACATTAAACACACTTACCTCTGCTTCCTACTTTAAGTACTTCAATGGTTACAACTGCAAGCGAGTATCTCCTCTCACTTGGATTGGCAGGTTGATCCGATGCTTCAATAAACACAGCATGGCGACCCTCACTGAGAGGAGAATCAATAACCGTCACCTGACCATTCTGGGCATCCACGGCAAATGGCACTGGACTAATATTCGTGGATCCATTGCTTGGACGTTGCAGATCATATAACACCATTCCGTTTCGACCAAGGTCAGGGTCCGTAGCTTTCACCTTAAAGCAATAGCAAGACGTAAAATAATATTTTCAATTAAACTTAAGACTATTGTAGCATTCCTTTGGAAATTTAGAATATCTTACAATTTAATAACTGTTCAGTCATAGGTATGGGTCATGCCACAAACCTTCTGATGACTGCTGCATATAGGGGTTTTAAAAACTGAGTAGTATAATGTCAATATGCAATTACAACCTTTAATTACACATATTTTAACTCCCTTCTTTTTCACAACTAAGGGGCAGCTAGGTAAAAAATATAATTTTAGATGTGGTATTGATTCATATAACAATTACAAAAATGAAATTCCCCCATTTTGCCAGACAGCTGATTGCAGATGTAGCAAATGTAGTAGGCAGTAACACAATTCTGCATAATGTGCCTAGAAATAATGAAAGATAGCATAGCAACATATTTATTTGTTAACACACTCATGTTACCCAAATCCTACCTGTCCAATAATATCTCCAACTTGTGCATCACTTTCAACAGTGAATTCATACAAGTTGTTGGGTGTGAAACTTGGGTTGTTATCATTTGCATCAAGCAGTGTGACCTCTACAGCAACTGATGCTTCTGCACTACTGTTGTCTGCTTTCTTTACTATGCTAGGAACCTTCTCTTTTGCATGGACCCTCATGCCTAAAGAAGGTTGCTTCTCCCTGTCCAGCATGCTCTGATCTCTGACGGTCAACCATCCTGTCCGAGGGTCGATTATGAATGCCTGGCTGGGATCATCAAGTTGGTATGTGAACTCCCCATTGTCTCCCTGGCACAGGCAAAGAACATGGTGACATAAAATAGAAGATAGCGAACATTACTGACACCTTAAAAAACACATAAATATGAATATTACACGTTTCTTATGTGAGCTCTGACTACTTCAGTTTTTGTTTCTTCTTTTGCTAAATTTATCAAGTTTTATTATGACAATTATTGATTTCCTGACAGGTGTGACGTTGATAAAGTGCGTACTGGAGTTCATTAAGTGTCTTGACTGATATCCGCACAGCCTAATGTACAATTTAAGACACAGATCTGAAACTCACGAGAAACATATGTTCAAATATTCATTTTATAATATATGTGAAGATTACTTAGTTATGCTGTGCTTTATAAAATGTTTTAAACATCTTCTTTCAACTGACAGATCTCATTGCTCTGTTAAATTCTCACTTGGTCATCAAAGGATAACAAAATTATGTTTGAAACCAGCCACATGATGTACTTTCAGGAAGTCAATGTTGATGACTTGGTAAAAATAACCAGGTTGGAAATGCACATAATGTTCAAGCATGTAATAACAAAAACAAAAGTTAAAAAGAGAAATTCATTAACCCAGTATGGTATTCATTAATGATGCAGCTAAAACACCTCATTGAATCCTCTCCAGGAATTTTACACAGTTTAAATCACATTGATTTAGCAGAAATTAACATACTTTAAAAACATTTTCTACAATGAAACATGTTTTACTATCTAATCTGTAAGTTAATTCATAACAGAGTAGAATACGATGCAACAGAAAGGATCTCAAATCCCTCTCACTTTCCCTCCCCCAAATTTTAATTGGTAATTTGCATTTCAAATATGATTTTACTTCTAGCATCGCCATACTGAAAAATAAAAAATGAGACTGAAAAAAACTCCTTATGACATCAGAACCATACTCAGTAACATTTTCTCTGTGTTAAGATGGCTGAAGGATTCCTCTGTCATCTGGTATAAAGTCACTGCTACTGCTTTCTTTGTAATTATCGTAAGAGTGTTTATGTAGAACCACGATTGTAACTCATGCGTGACTATTTATTTTATGTTTGAGAATATTTTCATTCTTTGCTGTTACTAGTATGTTTGTATCAAATGCAAATAAAATCATCTTTGTTTCTTGACTGTTTACTGGAAGGTCATTCACATATAACAGATATAAATCAGCCCAAGAACTGAACTCTGGGAAACACCACGTCTTATTTCTGTTGAGGCCAAAACACTTTCTCCGCACCTTAAATTTCTACTATTATACTATCAACAATTTACTTCAACTGTGACAGATATGATTCGAAAGAGTTCAAATTGTTGGAATTTAGTTTAGAAAGCAGGATTCCACAATTTCTAACATCGTGCGCAAAAGTTAAATTAAAGAATAATCTAATTCAATCAGCTTTCTTCAGTGTACTCCCACACACTCTCATACAATGACAATTAACTGAAATTCTTATAAACACATTTACAATTTCTAGTTAACAGTTTCAATGAATTCCATTTTAACAAAGCTTAACTTGTCTTACCTGATCTTTATCTTGAGCCATGACCTGGAGAACACTAAATCCATTAGGAAGATTTTCTACGATGCTGATGTTATAGAGGTCAACCTCAAACTCTGGTAAATTATCATTGAGATCCATTAACTCAACCTCCACCCTGGTAAGTCCCGTCTTCAGAGGGTTGTCAGCTTGAGAAGCTTGGAGTTGGAGAACAAATGTATTTCCTGGCAGTGTTCTCTCCATGTCCAAATCCAATTCCTGGTCCAGGAACAATGAGCCGTTGAGTCCGTCAACGGCAAACAGATGTCGATCATTGCCAGATATGATGTCGTAGTGAATGGGTGCGTCTATTGCTAGATCCTGATCATACGCAAATATATGAGGATTGAATATCAGCTCCTGGTGGATTTTCTTACCCTGCAATGAGAGAGAAGGAACTAGAAAACAGCTGTGACTATTTCATCCTATAATTATGAAACCTGATTTATCATCCTGTCTTATTGCAGTTGGTGCTACATGATGCGAGTGGTGCATATGATATAAAAATGTCACCAATTTCCTTTATCACAATATTTCTGTTGCAATATTCAGATACACAGCTGTTTCTTGCAGTACGACATTTCTACTCACAGACAGAGGATAGAATTCAGTGACTTGTGTTCTGTAAACATCTTGAGAGAACTTTGGGCTGAGATCATCGTTGTCGAGAACCGATACTAGGACATTTGTAGTAGAGTTTCTTGGCGGGGAACCTCGGTCCTGAGGACAGAAAAACAACACATTCACTATCAATATTGAATTTAACTTTGTCTCCACTTAAGCTGGCACCTAAATGAAGTAAGATGTAGGTGCCACAAATTACCAACTTCCACATTACTGAAGACGAACTAGGGTAACAATAAGGAAATATAGTATAATATTATTATTTGTAGATTATAGATAGTACTGAGTTGGGTGTGATATGATGATGTTATTGACAGGAAATGCAGTTATTTAATAATTATTAAATACAAATATTATATTCATAAACTTTCATGGATTTTACAATATATGAGTAAGTAGAGATGGGTATAAAAATTACCGATGCCATGAGTGTCAACGTAAACTCCCGGTCGCCTGCGTCATAGTCCAGCGGGCGTCTGAGCACCAGAACTGCCCGATGACTGCTCTCCATAGCAAACTTTCCTTTTTCATTTCCATCAACAATTGAGTACTGGACATCAGAATTCGGAGTGTTTCGCTTATCACTGTCAACTGCGTGAATTCCTCGGAAGACAGTCAGACCTACAATACCAAGTTAAAGGAGATTACTCATTTGCAGTAAACTATATAATATGAAAATCAGAAATTTTAAGAGTACTGATTATGTGTCAGTATCTTAATATCAACAAATTTAAGTCATGAGCATGTTTAAGAAAACTTTTCACTTTACTTACGTAAGAAAGAACCAGCATCAGCAGACCAGAAGAACAGTACAATGTAAAAGCGTACGTTTTTATACAATAACCAGGACTTTGATTTATGGAGCAACAGATATTAATCCAGGAAACAGCCATTTTTAATAACGTAAAATACATCCATCTTGTGTTTTTAAACAAAGAAAAGACTGTGTAATCACCAGTTGCATTACAATATTTTGCCTGCTTACACTGCCAGAAAATTGCAACTTATATTAATTCATACTTTCACATTTATACAACTTAATCAATGCTATTGATTGATTACTTTAGGTTAGGTTAGGTTAGGTTAGGTTAGGTAAAGACTGGGAAGTAAAATCTCACCTCCACATGTCCAAAAACAAAATACGGAAACAATCCTCAGAGTTAAATGACACTTACCAGTCGGTGTTAACTCATCCACTGTAACGTGATATGGCGCATTGATGAACTGAGGTGCGTGGTCATTTACGTCCTCAACATAAACTGTCACAGACAGGTAAGACGAAATCTGAAAGTGTTTTAAACAAATTACATATCTGTATGTTCAGTTTAAACAGTAGCAAGTGTTTAAATCTTATACGAAAATTATGTTAGGTCTTCTTACAAAATAAAACTCTGACTGATTCAGTGTGAACATGGCAAATTGTTGGTAAGCGCTACTTGCATGTTCATGTTTATTCCATTTACAAAGGTGAAAATTATATGACTTTTTTGGGCGTTATCACACAAACAAGTATCTTGACTTCCAAACTAGGAGAGAAACAAGAAATGTGTGTAGACCATTGTCATTAAACGACTGAGAGTGTTTTATGTGTGCGTGCATGCTATTCACATTACAAGGCTTCTTGGTAAGTGACATACAGTTTATGTTCTGTTCATTTCCCTTCTATATTTTTAATTTAGTGTTAAAGTACATCACATAAACAGTTCACATGAGTAAACTAGCAGAGTTTCTGCGTAAATTCCCCAAATGCTTAAATTTCATGTCGATCTTGATCACCTGAAAGCTTACCACATGCTTGATAATTATTATCGTTATTATCCCTAAATCCAACATCTACACAAAGACTCGAACCCAGGGCATTTTTGGGTTTGTGACCTTGGTTCATGCAATCATTTCGCAGAAACAATTTTGTTTCTTGCGGAAATATTCTATGATGATTAGTTTCTGAGTAAATGAGACCACATTCACCGGGACTCGAACCGAGGAAAGTTCTTCCCGTTGTGGGCCTTGTTCCTGCGGTCGCCGAAACAAACAGCCGCCCTTTCAATGCTCTTGGTTTCAGAGATACAGAAATCGTTCTCACCGACACTCAAAACCAGGCCACTTTTACGAAGTTTTGACCTCCACGTGTCCTCTTCCTAGTCTCAAGGGATACGAATGCCAAGTTTGGTGCAAATCGGTACATCAGTTCTCAAGCTATAAGCGGACGAACATAACACCCACAATTTAAACTTTATGTCTGAGATGATAATGTTGCGTCATATTGTGTTGAATATATACTTGTTCAATTTTATCAGTCTAATCACAATAAAATATTATTATTAAATATTAAATAGAACTGAAACATGTAGTGTAAAAGATGATGCTCTAATGTAAATCGAACATTTCGATAGAGAGCATCATTTTAATATATTTTAAATATTTAAATGTTAATTGTAATAATATTTTAATGTTTAATAATAATATTTTATGTCTGAGGTGACAAAAGATAAGATTTTAAAACTACGCCGCACGCAAATAACACGCACGCACAGACACACACACTATCAATACAAGTAATCCGATGAATCTATTCCAACGATACATCGAAAGCGTACAGAACGTAAGTGACATTTCTTTTTTTTTCCCTTCATCAAGTCTCTGATACAAAACCAACCAAAAGGGATGCAGCTCAAGCCCCACCTTGTTTGCCTTCTGTCGCCTGCAGAGCGAAGCCCAGAGTTAGAAGCTTACCGTGTCTTCGCCATCACTGTAGTCACAAACCAGTCGGAACTTGAGCACGTTCTGAGGACTCTCGCTGTCCACCAGTTCCTCCAGACTCTGGGCTAGTATCACCGACACCACCTGGCTGTTCACATCCCGGTACGTAAAGTATTCAACATCCTCCACCTGCGATAAACGAAGATTTAAAAGCGACAGGAATTCTACTTGTTTCTCGCCATCACAGAATTCATTTCTCGATGTCTGTAAACGATAAATCGACTCTTATCAGTGTTGTGCGTCTTACTATCACGTATCGATCTCGTAGACATTTTTACTGCTAACTTCAGCCGGAAGTACTGTTGATCCATGTGCAGAGTGGGACAGCGTTCGTTCATTACTTGTAAGGATACACTAGCCGACTGCAGTTTACACAAATGCATTCAAATTAATATGATCTGAAAGGCAGGTGTTCGACATTATTGAGAGACATTGTAAGAAAGTTCCTTCCCAAAAACAGCAGTCGTCAGATGTCATCCATGAAGATGGATGCACTGACGTAGAAATTTACTACTCGGCAGTCGATAACACTTTACGGTGCGTTCGAACATCGAATAATTATTTCCAGCTATGGTAACATTTTTTGGCCAGCCAGTTCGCCCGATCTTGTCGGCTTGTGGTTTCTTTTTACGGAGCTCCTTAAAAAGCAAACTTTTTCAGACTTAAATAATCTCAAGCAGAAAAATTTCTGAAGAGATTAGTGCCACATCACCAGTCATGTTGATGGGCGACATGTGAAGGGTGTTATTTTTAAGAACTAACATTCCCATAATGCACCTCAACACGTCTCTTTCATCCAATTTAAGCTGAATAAACTGTGGTTGACTAGTGTGTCTTTAAGAATGATAAGTGAACGCTGCCCCACTATTTATCTGCTAAAATATTTAAACACTTGACATAAATTAACCTCGATAATCATAAATTTAATTCAAAACGTGTATCATATTTTGACAACATGCCTATTGGCATTATTTTAAGAAATTTAAATAGAGGTAAGTCACTGTGTAATATCACTTCAAATCGATCTTGCATAAACCGTACAAAAGTTGTCAGGAAATTAAATTTCGGTTTGTGCTGCTCAACTACAGTTCCTACTTTACTGACACCCAAAATACTTTTCTCCTAAATGACTCATCGTGCACATGCCTGACTGCCGCAAACATCACGGTCATGTGCACTTTACCTACGAATTATGCAGTGTTTAAATTAGTAATTTGTTCACTGAATGAAATAAGAAAAAGAGCCGAATAATCTGTATTATATAGGTCCAGAACCAAGTTTGATATTTGCATGTGTCTGTTCACTTGACGTCCTAGAAGGCAGTACGTAATCTCGGCACTTACACTAATGAGAAGCAATTATAATACCACCACATGCCAACGACATCGAAATGCAGCCTAATCGCATTTTTCCGGTCTACTTGGCGTTTAACTAACACTGCGTTCCGCTGTAATAACAGATCAGCCGCAGAAACTTAGTGCAATGACTGGAGATTTCACCAAACTACTTCGCTATTATGAAGTAATGTTATAAGGGAAAGTTTTCTCAGATAAAGTTCTTTTTTCTTTTTTACATTTGGTGGCCATCTTGCTGACTGCATCTGTACACTCACTTAGTACGAGATCACTCAGTCTTGCGGGCGTGTTGAGTGTCATCTGGTGGCAAGAACAACACATTTTACTTTTCGTTCAAAATGATGACATTGAAACAACTTTCTACTGTTCGACATTGTGTATTATATTACGCCTGTTCAATGACACAAACTGCAGCAACAGAATTTCTTTCTTTTTCCCACGGATTACGATTCCTATTCTGACACAGACTCAATTAGAAGACAACTCCTTAGATGGGGGATCGGCTCAGCTCATGCCTACGTCTATTTAAACAAAACACTAGACACAGGAAGCGCCACGAAAAGTCTGATGGCCCCTGAAGCCACTCCACCCGCCTCTCTCACGTTATCAGACGTATTTCTAAGGGGTTTCCTCATCAAAGTTCTGCTTGCAAAGTCCGTTGTCAATAAATTCCGAACCGGTTCACTGCAACATAATAAATGCTGCTATCCAAATCATTTCAGGTAACATTTATAAATTACAGTTCCTCGTTCTCATTTATGGTATTCGCTCAAAATCAACAACTGTTCTCACGGAGCGCCCAGGGAGACCGCTCAGAAACTCAGTCACTGGTCAGCCCAACGCTTACCTTGTCAACGGGTTGGAGACTGAGATTTCGTCGAGGGTGGACCTCGATCTGGAGAACTTCGCCCCCTACAGGCACATTTTCAGGTACACGAACAAACCTGAGGTACTCGCCCGCAGGGTAGAACTGGCAGCCTGCAGGAACAAACAGCAACCAAGTAGCATTGTGCACGTGTCACAGACAAATCGAAGAATTATCTATTGTAATAATTCCCATTTTTGTCCATGACGTCACTTCCTCAAAGCTCGTACTGCATAACTCATAAACTTTTTATTTTTTATTTGGTATACGTCTTTTGCGGAAATTGTGTTTGTTTATGAAGCGACACCTTTCACGTGCAAAGGTTTATACAGTTTCCAGTATAAACGAAGAGTACTTAAAGATTTGCGAGATGACCGTGGCCTGTTTTACGGCACTGTTCCGGAATTCGTTCGTAGTGACTGACGCAAACCTCGAGCAGGATATCTGGTGACCAGGCTGACGTCACGACTGGGTACCGCTGCTCCCAGAACAAATTATCATGTATTAATTAACACGACGTTATGGATCGTTTATTTGAAACAGTTCGATTGGTCAGTAAAATGAAGAGTGTTTACGTACCCCCTGAAACTACAAAATTCGTAGATTCATCTGCAGTTCAACACCCATCATGTTTTGGACGTTACCGTAAGCTGGATAATATTACTGCAAAATATAGTCTCCTAAACGTCGGTTTCTTAGTTCCCCACGGCTGATAGCCCGAGAGAATGTTATAACGTTTAGTCTCAGTGGCTTGTAACAACTTCGTTCTGTCTGCAACTTCACTTGGAAGTGATCGCTGTTCGTGAAGCTTCTTCAAACAAATAGCCCGTCGACTCTTTGCGATCTGAAAGTCTCAGAGTCTGAGAGTCTTTATTTATTCCTATGCATAACAATTGCCTGCACATTAAAATGGAATTGTAGCGTCCAATGAAACGTTAGAGGACAATTTTGAGGAATTATGATGAGAAGCAGTAGTGCCCTATTTTCAAGTACGACCTCGGAAATACCCTAGCACATATTCCAACCAGAGCAGTCGGTCTCCGAACCGACGCCTCATTAGTACGAAGTACCACGTGATGGCATCTGTGCCGCCGTGTTGCATCATCCGGCGAGTAAAGTGAAGAATTCCATCACGAGGGGGCAGTCCAGTAGCGAACGGTAAGGACAAACAGCAAGTTGA